ATGGAATAAGCGCTTCCCTGGCAAGCGCAAGTGCCTGAGTTCAATCCCCGGTTCCACCAAAAAAAAATAAAAAAATAAATATATATACTATAATGAGTTACTTAATATTTATGAATTATTTCTGGAATGTTCCATGAAAAGTGAAAGTACAAATGAGAAACTACTGTACACAATGTAAATAAAAATTTTACGGTGAAATTATCCCTTTATAAAAAAAGATTAAGCATTATGGGTGAGGACCTGGGGAGATATCTCAGTAGAATAAGCGCTTGCCTGGCAAGCACAGGGTCCTGAGCTCAATCCCTGGTATCACAAAAAAAGGAAAAGAAAAAAGAAAAAAAAGGATTATGGGTGATAATCTACTAACATGGTTACTATTATGTTTACATATCTCTAAACCTCTCAATAATTTGTTAATATAAAGCACTAATTTTATTAAAATATATCCTATACAATTTCACAGATCATGAATTACTGAATTACAAAGCTCTTTTATCTTGTAGACAGCTCAACAGCTACCTGTTCACACAGAGCAAGGAACTTAGAAAATAAATACTCAGAAGAGATCAGAATTCCAATGAGAAAGGTAACATGTACATGTCAGGTGGTTCCTACCTATGAAGTCTGGGTACAACTCACCCAAGTGTTCTGTTTCAAGATGCTGTTTATTAAAGAAGAGTGATATATGAATTTTTACTAAGTAATAAGCCATAATCTTAATAATCTTCCTACACATATAAATGACAAAATCAAACAAAGAGTCTGTGAAGTTATTTGAGAATGATGTATCTGTAGGACTTTAGCCAAAATTCTAGCAATAAAATCTTGCCAGTAGCAATGCCTTCAGTCGAGACAATAGCTGGTACTGACATTCACAGAGATGTGTTAGTTTTAGTGTATCTCCAGTATGTTGTAGGATTCATTCTGTACAAAGTTGGCTTCCAAGTCTGCTGAACTTTAGGCAAAAAAAAAAAAAAAATCATGAACAGTTTCTCAAGGAATTCATTCTTCCTTTGCTAGTTAGGATTTAGAAAGTGACAACCACAACTAACCTATATCTATTTTACTAAATACTGAATCTATGATTTCAATATTTGATAGCAAATATGTTTCTTAAAATAATATATTCACAGAACGTACAACTCCAAAAGTGAACTGTAAGCCTAAGGATCACCATGTGTTCAAAGCCAGCCTGGGCTACATAGTGAAACTCACAGTGTTCCTCTTGCCTCAGTCTCCCAAGTGCTGGGATAAGAGGCATGTACCATCATGCCTAGCTATACCTGTCTCTATCTATCTATCTATCTATCTATCTATCTATCTATCTATCTATCAAAACAGAAAATAAAACTGATGGATATATATATATATATATATATATATATATATATATATATATATAATGTTAAAATGTACACAGATGCAGGGGGAAATGTGGGAATGGAAAGTTACTATAGGTAAATCTAGCTAATGAATCTTGAGTTCATAAAGGAGAGAAGGATAGGCTGTTTAAAGCAAGGCTTGGCCATAGGAAGGTCCTGAAGCTGACAGGGTTGGGACTATGTTGGTATGAGGATGGTCCCAACCATTTGGTGGAGTCTGGAAGTGGTATCCAATCCACAGGACAACACAGAATCACAGAGACTGAGGGATTCATTTTGAAAATTCAATCAGTATAAGAACCAATAGAGGGCTGGCCAAATAGCTCAGCAGATTAAAGCACCTGCAAGCAGGCACAGGGGCCAGGGTTTGATTCCCTTGCCTGCCGTGCTGGCCCTGCCCCTGGGGCATGCTGAGACCCGATTGAGTTGGGGCGTGGTGGTGCACCCCTGTAATCCTAGCACTTGGGAGGCTGTAGCTGGCTGGCTCAGGCTGCCTTTTTTTTTGGACGGAACTGGGCATTGAACTCAGGCCCTTGTGCTTGCCAGGGAAGCATTTATTCCACGGAGCCATCTCTCCAGCCCCATGGGAGGCTGTAAACAGGAGAATCACTATGAGTCTGATCTAGTAGTAAGACCCTGAACGCCCTTCCCTAAAATACAGGGGAAAAAAAAAAAAAAAAAACCAATAGAATTGGAATCTACCTTGTCACATGGCAAAATTCGACTGCAATCCTCTCAGTCATGTACCATTCACGTGGAAACATTCGACCATATTTTTCTTCATAGTCCACAAGCTGACGTTTCACCCAGGCATAGCGTCTGTCAATTTTGTCCAGCCAAGCAACCTCATGAAGGTAAGGAACAAAAACCATCCCTGTGCTTAGAAGTGGTATTAACAATTTAAAGAAACAAGCAAAAACATAAAATCAAGAAAAAGACAGCTAACCCATTATTTCTCACCAGTTCATATGCTATCTTATTTACTTGATCCAAAGATTCTTAACTTGATGTCTGTGACTGGGCTTTAGGGATCTATAAATTTCCTGAAACTGTATATAAAGTTTAATGCATTTTTCTGCAGAGAAGATCTATAGCTTTCATTAATTTCTCTAAAGGGTCAGTGACCTCAATGGTTAAGAACTACTGAACTGTAAAGTCAGCCTGTAGGAGTCATGGCTCAACAATCAACACTGTCAGACAGTAGCACTAATAAAGTGTAAGTGAGTAGGCTTGGCAACATTCATTTTTCAATAAAATTGAAGTGTTACATCTGACCTCATCTGGTCGATACTTACATCTTGGTTTTCTTGAAAAAGTACTAGATACTCTGACAGATGTTGTTTAATAAACTTTTTGATGATTTCCTGTTTGATTCTGGGGTCCAAAATATTAGCAACCAGACATGCATCTCGCAGGACATTGCTGGGTCCTCCTGGCCTCTAGTAAAACAAATAACAGGCACCAGTTCAAAAGTCAGAAACAATTTTTAAATCTCACAGCCTCTGACAGCTGCTACTTTTTGTTTCTCTCTTACTGTTATCCCTCCCACTCCCTAGACACTCATTCTCTCTACTGTGGATGGATATTTGTTTCTTGATAAAAGAATCATTATGCTATGTCTTGCAGCCGCCAACATAAAAACTACCTTGTGAATAAGCAACAAGACATTTTGGAAAACAGGGCCAGCAATGATCACAGGACATTTTACTTTCCAAATACCAAAACTGAAAGAGCGAAAAAGTAAGAATTACAATAGTCTCCAGTAACACCAGTGTCACTCCACATTTTCTTTCTTCTCTTTCCATCCCTGGCATTCCTATTCCTAAATGTTGTATTTATGCCATAATAGCGTGGTAGCTTTAAAACCTAAAACTATGTTTCAGACCACCAGACTTGACAATAGATAGGCAGCCAAAGGCAAAATACTGTGATATTGGCCTTGATCAGAAATAAATAATGGAAGGCAGGGGTTGCTGCAATGATATTTCACATTGAAAGATTTTGTTATTATCAAAAGCAACTGAACTTCTTTGTATGCTAATTCAGTGAATGAACATGGTTGA